GTGAGCCTATTCTTGGGCTCACCATGTCCACGGGTCAATAATTGTCCCTGAACAATCATTCTGGTTTAGGTTTGGTTTCTCCTGCCCAGCCATGGCTCATTTCTGGCTTCTTCTTGTACTTAGGCGGTGGCCTGCCCTCAAATACCATCACATCCACCAGGAAGCCTGCCCAGACCCATCCTGTGCCAGCTCTCCTCTGGCACCTTGACGATCCCTGACAATTCATCTGTACTTTTCTATGTCTATCGGGATGACATTTAGCAACAGGGAGTAGAAAGCTTGACCTTCAGCAGCTTAGATAAACAGGGACTTATTTTTCTCACATAATAAGAAATCTGAAGGCAGGCAGCTGCCAGCTTTGGTTTGGAGGCCTGACAATATTGGGGACAGCATTTCCTGTGGCCTTTGTCTTACGTTTGTTGCCTCTGCCAGATGATACCCAGATGGCCCCGACTAACCCAACCCGCCTCACCCCCATCTTCTTGCATAAATTCTCAAAATAACCATAGAATGTGCTGGGAATGCAATATTCTGGGACAGGAGGGATTGCCTGAAACAACCTGGGCCTTGTTCCTATCCCTCCTAGGGAATGTGACAGCTCTCTGGGACTGTCCCTGACAGCCCAGGCATTGTTCTTCTGTACCCTGAAGAAGGCATCCTTGCTCTACCCAGGGAGCCAGGCATCCTCCAGGGCAGGTCTTCTTTCAGGGTCCCTCAAATTTGTTGCAGGTAAGTACAAGAAGTCAAGACCGCACAGCCCCAGATAGCTTTCTCAAGCCTCAGGGGACTCACTCACCACGGATCCTAGGCTGTGTTCATCCCTTGCACCTACCTATAAGCAGTAGCTCCAATTTGTGTAGTTTATCGCATGTTTTCCCTCTCACCTGTAATGCCATAGCTAGCATGCAGGGGGCCCAGAAGTGTTTGGACTCGGATTCCTGGTAGTTGACATATTGATGTGCATTGTTAATCATACCTTGGGACTGGTTATTAGTAAAACTGCCTGAGAGCCTGCTGGTTACAGGATGGCTATCACACAGCCAGGCATCACACTTTCTTTCCAAGTAGAAGAAAATAAATGGGGTCATCTTCATCTCCTCTTTAACCAGGAGATCAAAACTTTTCCTGAATCTTTCTAGGAAAGATCTAGTTATAATTCATGACCTCAGACTGCATCACTGACCACTATTGGTTGCAGTGGATAGTAGGAAATGATCATTGAACTCCTTTGACCTCTAGAACAGATTTTTTTTTTTAAATGGGAACAGGTATTAGGTCAATCTTAGAACAGGGTCCACCCCGCTCTCTTAAAGTCTTAGTCACAGTAGAATCCTCTAGTGCAGTTTTTTTGCATGCAGACATCAGAGCTCCCTCTGGGAAGGGGCTGAGTTCCCCACCACTATCCCACTCACCCTGCACATAGCCCTTTGATGAATACATGCTTGGGGCGTGCAGTCCATCACCTCTGTGCCCGCACTCCTGGGGCCTCCCGGCAGGCTGAGCAGATTGTAGCTACAGCCAGGTAATTAAATGTGCATCCTTCTTTGATCCCTGAGCACTTCATTTTTGAAATTCATCTGGATAGAGCTGAAAGATACCAAGCATGTATACTCCTGCTCCCTTTCTAATCATCCAAAAGGGTTAAACCATTTGTGTCTCGGGTCTCCCGTGATCAAGAGAGGCTGGCTGGCAGGAGTGTCTATTTGGGGCCTCCAAGGCAAGCAATTGTGGGAATTAAGAATTAGCTCTCTCCCTCCTATCCCCTTGATGTAGTTAGAATAAAAGCAGCAGTGACATTGCCAATGACCCAGATGTTGGAGAAACCTTGGATTAAGCCACAGAGGCCCTTGCTCCAAATCCTATAACAGTGCATTAACACAGGCTCAACCTGCAGAATTGGATTTAAATCCAGCACTTGAATGCTCATCTTCCCGTGGCCCCTTCCCCACACCTAATCTCATTTTGTCCTCACAGTGTTGAAAATAATGGCAATGCAGCCACCGTGGAAAGTGATTGTGTGAGCACTTTTCTTTACATGAGAAAAGCACTTAATAAAGTAAAAGTGCTTTAAGTGCAGAAGTGCCTTCCTTTGCATCCCTCTGCCGGGGTAATAAATGCCTTGCCCCAGTCCTGTGCCTGCTGCGGCACAGGGACTCGAGACAGCCAAGCTGCCTTTTCTCGGGCACAAGGGTCGCTGGGTCCGTACCTGCACAGGAACACAGCACAAAGAGCAAGACAGGGACAGCTTCAAGGAGCAAATGCTGTCCCCCGCCTCCCACTTTTGTGTCAGGAAAACAATCTCAAGCATGAGGACAGTTACTATTTACTGAGCCCTTATGACACATTAAGAGCACTGCGCACACTATCTCTTTCCATCTTTCAATTTCCCCCATTTTACAGATAAAAAAAATGAAAGCTCACAGGCATCGCCACTTGCTCAGGATCACATAGTCCGCAGGCCAAGAAATCCAGACTCAAACCCGCAGGATCCCCAAGCTCTCCTCAACTGCTACACGCTAGAGTATAACAGTGATCTCCTTCCGGGATAGCAGGATACAACCACCTGGGATATTTGGGGGACCCTAAGCCAAACCAATTACATTTGACTCTCTGGGTTAGGGCCAGTGCATCAAGGTCTCCAAGCTCCCAGCTGCACCAAAGTCTGATGTCTGCTGAAACCTAACCTCACTGTGGTGGCATCAGGCAGTGGGGCCTTTGGGAGGTGACCAGGTGAGTAAAATTAGTTTCCTTAGAAATAGGCTCCAGGGAGCTGCCCTCACTCCATGTGAGGACACAGGCAGAGGGAACATGAGCCAAAAAACAGGTTCTCACCACACAGCACCACCTTCATCCTGGTCTTCCCTGCCTCCAGCATGGGAAGAAATGAATGCCGTTGCTTATCAGCCACCGCAGCTATGGTACTTTGTTACAGCAGGCCAAGTGGACCACGCTGGATAGGCGAAGTGGAAAAGGCTCCCTTCCTAGGCCTGTAGGGTGGGCTTCAAGCTCTGTACCTCAAATACTACTTCTTGTATGTAATCAACCCACCCTGCCCACCTCATAAGAACCAGCATATGCAAACACACTATGAATTCTGGAGGACTTGACACTATCCAACCGGACAGACAGAGCCAGCCCGTGGCAGCAAGGCCAAGGCCACTCTCCAAGAAGAGTATCAGAAACCATACTTCAGGGGTGACCTTCATAACTGCTTCAAAATTGAGGTGATTATAAAAATATTGCTAAATTGTTATTTCATGGGTTAATACAGAAAAGTATCTGTCACGTACACACACATCTGGTTTGTTGTTTTCAGTGGTTGGAGAGCATATTTCAATGTGACAGTTTCCTTTCTAATCATACACATTATAAAAGAGGTCCCTAGACTCTGCCACGCACAGAGAGCAGCGGAAGAGTAGCTGCTGCTAACTCTCATCACTGAAGGTGCTTACCAAGGCTAGGAATAACAGAATCTTTGTGCTGTCTTATTTTTACATGCTTGCATCTTTTTTACCCAGATTACCAGCTCCCGAGAACATAGAGTGAGTTGCATTGGGTTTCTGTTTCTTAAAAAGAATATCTACTCAACCACTGTTAGGTGATTGTCTGATTGATGCAAATTCTTCAAGCTTCAGTGGTCTAAAGCCAACATTCCTCCTGAAAGAATTAAAAGCATCATCCACAGCGATAAATGCACATTCATGTCTGTAGTGGCAGAGTTTGTAATAGCTAAGCCTTGGAAACAACCTGTCCATCAATCAATGAATAGATAAAGAAGATGTGGTTCTTTTATACAATGGACTACTACTCAGCCATAAAGAAAGATAATCTTGAGACATTTCTAGGTGTCGGTTACTTTTCTCTCATTGCTGAGACAAAATACCTGACACAAAAATGAAGGAAATAAGGATTTATTTAGCTCACTGTTTGTGGGGATCTCAGCCCGTAATCAGCTGGCTCCAGGGCTGGATGGAATGACACAGGGACAACACTTTAAGACAGCAGCCAGCAAAAGAAGAAGGAGCAAAATCGGGGAGGCGCAAGCCTCTTTCCCTCCCTTATATTGTACACAGGCCACTCCCTCTCCAGGGCCAGTGCAGCATTCACAAAGTCTCCTTGTCTTCCTCTTGCACAGAAGGAGGATAGTTACAAAGTAAGGATCCTGGCTCCCTTCTGAGTCTCTTAGTTAAACTTCGAAACTTCTCAAGTTGACACACTGTAGCAACTATAACACTAGGTAAATGGAGGCACCTTAAGAGCACACTCTTAAGTGAACTACACTGGACACAGGTGTGAGTTCCGCACAGTTTATCTGGTGTGAGAAGAAGCAAGTTAGCTCAGCAGCATAAGCACCTGCCTTACAAGTGTGTGGTCCCTACACACTTACAAGTGTGAGTTTGATCCCCAGGACAGATAAAAAACAAAAAGACAAAAAAAAAAAAAAAGAATCAAGATACATCATGTACAGATGCAAATTCCCTACGATGAATGTGATCATCATGTATATCTAAAATGAATCAATAAATTTAATTAATTTTTTTAAAAAGAGAAAATAAAGCCAGCATCGCATTCAGTTACCGAGAGACAAACGTGGCAAAAGGAGGAAAGACACTGAGATCAAACCTTTGGGGAAGCTCCACAAACCCAGGGCATGGGGTGCTGAAGCTTGCCTAGTGGGGACTGAATATAGCTCGAGGGGAGAAAAAGCCCACTGGAATTTTCCACCAGGATTGATCGGTAGGTCAAGGGAACCCAGCAGATTCCATCCAAGCTGGGAAAATGTTCTGGAGAAAGTGGCATTATCTTTGTGCTTTGGGAGCCTCATAAAATAATACTAAGTAGCCCGAGTGCCCAGTTGTTCGCAAAGAAACCCACCCTGCATGGAACCTCACACACTCCTCACCCTGGCACTAGGAGCTGAAGAGAGTCCTGCACCCTCAGCTCCAGGAGCTATCAAGAGACTTTGACTATTCCCATTGCATATAAACACCAAGACTTCATAGCATAAAACAACCACCATTTTATTTGGCTGCCAAATTCTGAGGAACAGGAGTCCTGGCACCCGGGCCATGGCTCTTCTCTCCTCCACGCTGCCTGGAGCTGCCAAGGTGGCAGTCGGTGGCAGTCGTGTGATGGCAGCCTGTCCATGTGGGCTTCTCATGGCATGGTAGTCAGGCCTGGAAAGAAGGCTCCCTGCAGAGGGGAGTGGGGTGCTGCAGAGGGAATATCATAAGAACATCGAGCGGAAACTACACGACCTAGGCTGTCCATCATACCCTAGCAGGCCAGGCACTCACAATCTGCCCAGGACCAACAGCAAGGGTCCTGGCCCCTCCCTTTAATAGAAAAGCTGCCAAATCCTTTTGGAACCACCTTTTGGAGCCTCCACACTCACCAAATAAACCTCAGTACTCCCTAGCTTAGAGATTACACTGAGCCCCACTGGGGAGCTAAACCCGGGTCTCTGATCCTGAGGGGGAAGATGAGCAGTGTGTGGTCCCAGCACATCGCTCAGCCAGCGCTGTCTCTCCGGAGGCGGCCGCCCCACCCTGGAGAAGCGCCCCTGCAGCCTCAGCTGCTCCCTGAAAAGCACTCTCTTGTCACTCTCCCCACCACCCCACCTTCGTTGCCATGCCTTCCTGAACATCTCTTCACCTCCAAATTACCCTCCGGCAAAAATCTGCTCCCACAAAGTGAGCTGTGCATGCTGGTGTGTCTCATTGTTCTTCTATTAAGACATATCATTCACAAACCCTGCGTTGCTTTAAAAATACCCTCAGCTGTCACTTACATAAGAGAACTTGGCAAAACAGATGGAGCGCCCCAGCGGTGTCTTTGCCTGGAGCAATATATGCTAATATCTTGGCACAGGCACCTTGAGCTGCTTTGTTTCCCAGCAAAGTTCCCTCAGCTGGAAAGTTCCAAGGGTGAGTAAAATCGGGAAATGTGAGAGAGAAAGCTGTAGCTGCTGCTGCTGCTTTTTTTTTTTTTTTTTCCTCAGAGAATGAAACCATTCTCTCATTAATCAAATGGCTGCAGAAAGCTGCAAAGCTGCTCCTCAAAATCAGTAGGTAGGGGAGCAGCTGGAGGCACACTAAAGAATGGTGCTACACTCAGAAAAAGGGTACGTACTGTCCAGGACATGGAGAAAAGGGCATTTCAGAGGGAGGACATGGTACGCTTGAAAATGAGGAGACAGGAAAGGGCCTGGCTGGTGCCCAGAGTACCGTCACAGATCCACCTGCACGGAGGGTTTGGGCTTGGTGTAAGAGCCACTGATTATTGCACGAGCCCGGAACAACCCCACACTTTCTCTGGAAAGCAGTTCGCTCCCATTGGCTTCTGCACAGCTCTGAAGTGGACATGGGATTCAGGTTGTGCTAATCTGGGTAACTGGTTCGTTTGATGTCAGTAATGGGGGAGGGGTTTATAAATAGCCAGGTCAGCCGATCAGAACCAGGACTCAGGAATGTGTACAGCAGCATTTAGGGTCCCTTCTCTCCTCTCTCTGGAGGAGAGGTCTGAGAATGTGCAGGGACTAAGAACCTGAGCTCCTTAATTAAAATGACTCCAAAGCCCAAATCTATTGGCTTTGTAAGTTTTGGAAGATTCTTTACCAGGGTCCCATTTTTTCCTGTAAAATGTGGATAAAAAAACCACCTTGTATTGAAGATTGAATGAGATGCGTGTCATGTACATAATAAAATACGGAGAGCACTTAGAGAGTGTATGCTAAAGATGACAGCCTAGGGCTAGGTGGATGTGGAACCAGCTTCAGGGCACTGGCCAACCTGAGAGAGTAAGTCCGTCTTCAAAGAAAGTCAGCAAGAGAGTAAACTGAGTGGCAGTCCACTGTAGCTTAGTATACCATTCAATAAATTCTCCTTTTTAAAAATTTAAGTTGCTTTTGGCTTGATTTATTTCAGAACACCTTAAAATGTGTGTTATTTAAAAAAAGAAAAAAGACTTACAGGAAGATAGTGAGTGATGAACAGGTGAATAGCAGAGAAAGAGCCCCTCTGAGATTTGGTGTCCAGATGCTGGAATATAGCAACGTGAGAAGAGAAGGAGGAAAGTGGATTCCTGAGACCCAGCAAGGATCTGAAGTGAGAACTGAAGCCCACGGGAGAGAAAAGAGAGACTTCAGCAAACAAGAAAGAAGTGGCAGGTGGCACTTTCTCCCTGAACCCTGCCTCACTGCATGGGACGGGTGGCTCACACCTGCAGACACACGCTGACACTGGCAACCCCAGAGGTTCCACTGAGGCACGCACCAGTGGAATAGAATAACTGAATCAGCAGACCGAAATGGCTGGCAAGTTACGCAGGTTCCCTAGTAGCCATCATGGAGAGGGCTCAAGACTGAGCCAAAACTTAGAGCACCTGCAGGCTGGCTCCATCTAGTGGCTCCCAGTATCAAGGAGAGGTGGAAAGGAGTTCAAATCAGCAGGAGCTAAATTCAAGCCAGCACACATGGAGTATCGCAGGCTGAACAAATCAGGTTCCAGCCTCACAGCCAGAAACCAACCTACACTTTAGTGGAACTGAAGGTGCAGCCTTGCTGGGATTATCCACTACCCCGTGGTAAAGCTACAGCTGGCTTGCTGGGATTAATCACCAGGGATCTGGACTCTGTCTGCCCCCTTTGTCTGCCAGCAACAGCAGAGACATACCTTGAAGTGGACAGCTTGTTTGTTATTTTCTTCTTTTTTTTTTCTTGTTTTTGTTTTCTTCTTCTTTGATTGTTCTTGTTTTCACATGTGTGAGAACATTATTTCTAGTTTTATGTTGTTGTTGTTTAGCAACAACAACAACATAAAACTAGAAATCTTGTTTTGTTTTTATTTTTTTTTTCTCTCTTTCCCACCTGTCTTGTTCACCAGTTTCCCAAAGTTTGCATAATCTTTTTTTGATCTCCAGTCTTGCTTCTAATCTCTTTCTCTTCTTTGGTTTCTCTATTTTACCTCCCAACCTCTTCTAAATTTTCTTTCCTCAGGATACAATCGACATAGTAAGGGAAGATTTACCATGTACAACTTTCTGGTTTGGTTTAGATTTTGTTACATAATCACAAATCTAGTTCATACAGTTAAAGGCAGTGAGTTAATTGTTACCACTGTTTATCACTGTCTGGGCTGTATTTGATGCTATTCTTATTTATTACTTTAACAAATGTGACATAATTATTCTAATCAGTGGTCCTTCCTGGTAAGGTCAAGACTGAGATTGCCTAAGGGTTGCATAAAATACTATAACCCAGTGCCAAAGAACAAGGGGCTGGCCAAACAGGCAGAAATTTCTCATCCCCAATAAATTGAAGAGGTATAATCTTGCAATAGACTCAAAACCCAAAAACCATCCAGAAGACACTTCTGAGAAGTAGTCAATTTCTAAGTGTTCTAAAGACTAGCAATAAAGCTATTTTACATAAGCAATTTACAATGATCAATCCAAAATCAAACTAAAAAAATTGAGAAGCCATTTAAGCAAGATGCAGCCCCAGACTTCCAACTCACCAAAGACAAATCCAGAAGGCAATGAGGTGGAACAACTCAAAAACCACCCACCTTGACTCGCTGAAGTGACATCAGTGGAAGTAATGAAGCAGATAAATGAGGTTCTAGCGAAAATCAAATCAGAAAATTTCTCAGATAACCATAGATGATGACATTAATGAAAAAACGTGCTTAGTGACTCTAGAGCAGATATGGATAAAAAAAAAAGAGTTTAGGAAGATGGAAATTATGAACACCAAAAATAGGAAAGAAACAGAATCCATGAAATAGATTCAAACCGGTATCCATGAATTAAAAATACCCTGAAAGTGTACACAACTGAATAAGCCAGAGTGAGGACAGAATATCAGAAATAGAAGACAGGATTGTGGTTCAGGATTATGAAAAAACAGGGTTTATTTTTGGGGGGGTACATTGTTTGTTTGTCTGTTTGTTTTTGAAACAGCATTTCACTCCGTAGTTCAGGATGGACTTGAACTTACTATATAGCCCACGCTGGCCTCAAACTCACTGCAAACCTTTTGCCTCAGCCTCCCAAATGCTTGGATTACAAGCTGTGCCACTAAGCATGGCAGAAAGATTTCTTAAAAATAGCAAAGACCCACAAAAAGTCAATTCAACAGCTGCTAGATGATGCAAAGAAGATTATCATAAGATTGATTGGAGTCAATGAAAAAAGGAGATAGCATAAACAATGTTTTTAAAAAAAACTATTCACAGAAGTAATGGCAGAAGACTTCCCAAGTATGGAAAAAGAATTTGTCATATAGATAAGTGAGACATATAGAACTCTAATTAGCCATGATCCAAAACTAATCTATACCAAGGCATATAATAGTCAAGACCCCAAAAATTCTACCCAAAAACAGAATATTAAAAGCTGTTAGAGAAAAGAAACAAATCACCTATAAAGGAAAGTCCGTCAGAATCACAGAAAACTTCCCAACACAAATTTTCAAGTCAAGGAGAGTTTAGAGTGAATTATTTCAAGCCCTAAAAGAAAACAACTTCCAGCCCATATTAATGTTTCCCACAAAACTATCCTTCAAAATTGACAGAGAAATAAAATATTTCCATGACAAAGAACATCTGAAGAAATTAATGATCACCAAATCATCACTCCAAAATACTCTAGACAGAAATAACAAGGACTATAACTCTATGAGCCCCAAAAGAATGAACCCACCAGGCAAGTCAAGCAACTACATAGAGATGGTTGGAGAAAAACAACAACCAGAAAATAAGATGACAAGGATAAGTCAATATATATCAGTTATAACAATCAATGTTAATGGTCTCAATTCACTAATCAAAAGACACAGACTGGAATATTGGATCAAAAAGAAAGATCCAACAATATGCTGTTTACAAAATCACATTTTTTTTCTTTTTATCGGTACCGGGGATTGAACTCACGACCGCCTGCTTTGCAAGGCAGGTGCTTATGCTGCTGAGCTAAATCCCCAGCCCTAACAAAATCACATTTAATTCGAAAAATAATTCATTGACTGAAATTCAAAGGATGGAAAACAATACGGACCTGGCAAATACCAGGGTAGCTATTCTATTTGCAGATAAAGTGTATTTCAAGCCAAGACCAACTAAGATAGGCAAGGAAGATAACTACATCCTTGTAAATGGAACAATCCAAGAGAAAGTTGGTATGTAGTGTGCATAAATATATGCACACTACATACCAACTTTATGAAGCAAATATTAACAGACATGAAAAAACAAACGCTAATATAATTGTAATGGGGGACTTCAACACCCCACTGTCACAAATAAATCAACTTACAAAACAATCGATAAATATTAGAACTGAACTGAGTTTTTGAACAAACTGGACTTACTAGATGTCTACAAAGTTTCCCACACCACAACATCAGAATACATATTCTTCTCAACTATAAACAGGGTGATCTCCAAAATAGACCATATACTACTAGCTCCTAGACCATGTTTAAATAAATGCAAAGGAATTGAAATTATCCTGTGTATATCATCAGACCATAGTGAAATGAAATTGTGGTTGACCAAAAAAACACAAGAACTTCATAAATACGTGGAAATTAAATGACACCTTCCTGAACAACCAATGGGTCACAGATAAAATTTAAGAAGAAATTAGACAGTTTTTACAATTAAGAAATTAGACAGTTTTTACAATTAAATGATAATCCCAGTACAACATACCAGAACTTACAGTATACAACAGAAGCAGTCCTAAGAGAAAAATTTATAGCAGTGAATTCCTATATCAGAAAAACAGACCATGCTCAAATAAACAACCTAATGTTGAAACTCATTTTTAGAACCAAAGCTCATATAAGGAAGGAAACTATAAAGACCAGGGTAGAAATTAATGTGATAGAAACTAATAAAACAATGTAGAGAATCAACCAAAGTCAAATCGTTGGTTCTTTGAAAGAGTAAATAAAATTGACGAACTCTTAGCTAACCTTAT